GAACCCTCCCACGTGTGTAGCAGAATGTTAAAGCACACTAGCCAAAAAATGGGAAAACATCAGTGACTGTCAATAGAGAAGGATAGGCGAGTGGAGTACCTGACAGCAGTGGAAATGCATGAATTAGAGCTAAGGGTGTCACCATGGTTAGATCTCACAGTCACAAAAGGATGCACCGTTAATATTAGGTTTAAAGGCATGCAAGACAACCGTATACATTATTTTTTCTCTGTATGAGTATGTTCCTAAAGAAATGCCTGAGAATGCTAAATTCAGGATAGTGTTTACCTGTGAGGAAAGGTTTTATTGGGAAGAAGTTTTAACTGTTTTGTATAATATTTTATTTCTTAAACTGAGGGGAAGAGTCACAGGGTTTTTTTTTTTGTAACACTCGTTTGCATATTTGAACTGTTTAATAATTTTTTAAAAGGATCAAATGGTACCTCATAGGTGCTCAGTAAATATTCGTATCATTGGTTGGTTCTTTGTCTCTGGGTTGGGATATTGTTTGTTTCTTCCTCTCTAAGTGTTTAAAAAGCAAAAAGATAAATCTGTATGGCTGTTAGTGGTCCAAATCTGACATTCAAGTCTGAGCTGACCCTTGAACATGAGATCAGGATTCTGTTCTTCATATTTACCCCGTCTGCCTTCTCCTGCCTGGTTAAGTGCCGACAGACTGTCTCCCTCTGCCATAAAACTGCTAGAGGCTTGAGTCAGCCTCCTTTTCTCCCACTGACCCACGCAGTCCCACATCTCTGTCCAGGCCCCTGTCCTTCGAATGGTGGAAGGCGACACCATCTATGATTACTGCTGGTATTCTCTGATGTCTTCAGCCCAGCCAGACACCTCCTAGTAAGTGATGTCTCTTGCCTCCCTTACTTCCCTCCTAGTTTCAAGGGGACCCTCTACTGAGAGAGAATCAAGGGCTGCCGGGGGTCTCGGGAGGACGAAAGCTTGGTGTGCCCTTCAGATGCGAGCTGAGAGGGCTGGTCAGTTGGCTTCCTCCCCTTCCTTTGACAGCACTGGGGCCTCAGTGTCCGTGTCTCTCTCAGCGTGGCCAGCAGCAGCCGGGAGAACCCGATTCACATCTGGGATGCATTCACTGGAGAGCTCCGGGCTTCCTTTCGCGCCTACAACCACCTGGTAGGGACCTCCCCGCCCAGCCCCATGGCTCGTCCTGGCCCAGCTCTCCTTCCTTGAGGACGGCTGAGGCTTTGCTAGGCCTGTTTTCAGCCTTTTCCTGCCCCCAGGATGAGCTGACGGCAGCCCACTCGCTCTGCTTCTCCCCGGATGGCTCCCAGCTCTTTTGTGGCTTCAACCGGACTGTGCGTGTGTTTTCTACATCCCGGCCCGGCCGTGACTGCGAGGTCCGAGCCACGTTTGGTAAGATCTGTGCCTCCAAGGGAGGAGGAAGGAGAAGGGCACTGCCACATGCAGAGGGGCCTCGTGTGAGCCAGGGGCCCCATGTAGGGGGTCACAGCATCCTCAGTACAGCCGTGGGAGGCAGCTTGTGCCCAGTGGGCAGAGGAGAAAACAGACTTGGGGAGGGGATGAAGCTTCCCCAAAGTCAACCTGGTGGGTAAAGAGCTGGTTCACTTCTGAGCCTATGCGCTGTTGGCTGTGTACCTTTACGTCTCTAAAATCTTGGTGTCTCTAGGAAATTGGAGGTGAAGCTGATTCCATTTTCCTGTAAACCTTCAACTTTCCATCCCTTCAAGGAAAAACAGATTTGAGAGGGAAGAAGTAGGTCTTGGGCACTTCAGTCCTTTAGGGGGATAGAAGGACCTGGGGAGCATCAGAGGTCTTCATCCTGCTTGTGACAAATGGGACGGGGGAGACATGGGGTCCCAGCACATGGGCTCTGGGACAGGAGACAGAAGTGCACCTCTGATTAGCCCGCTTAATGTCAGGTGTTATTGCCCTCTTCCCCACTTTGCACATTCCCCTTCTAGCCAAAAAGCAGGGCCAGAGTGGCATCATCTCCTGCATAGCCTTCAGCCCAGCCCAGCCCCTCTATGCCTGTGGCTCCTACGGCCGCTCCCTGGGTCTGTATGCCTGGGATGATGGCTCTCCTCTCGCCTTGCTGGGAGGCCACAAAGGGGGCATCACCCACCTCTGCTTTCACCCTGATGGCAACCGCTTCTTCTCGGGAGCCCGCAAGGTAGGGGTCATGTCCTGAGATCCTAAAGAGGGTGGGCATTAGGCAGGAGTGGGGATGTAGTCTGTGATGTGTTGGGGGACGGATGTGGGACTAAATCAACCCAAGCTAAAGGAGTGCCTGTAAACCTTGAGGGAGGCAGGAATGTCTTGGGGAGGGGGGAGGGACGGACTCCAGGCCCCTGTTCTGTGTCTTCAGGATGCTGAGCTTCTGTGCTGGGATCTCCGGCAGCCTGGTCATCCACTGTGGTCCCTGAGCCGAGAGGTGACCACCAATCAGCGCATCTACTTCGATCTGGACCCGTGAGTGACCTTGGGTCATTCTTGCCCAGGGCCCTGATGCCCCCAGGGATGCCAGAGCCCAGCTGTAAGGTCCCAGCCCCTAGTTGTGAGGGGTTCCTGCCCCAGGGGTGATGACTCCATACCAGCAAGCCTCTCCTCTTTCCACCAGGACTGGGCAGTTCCTAGTGACCGGCAGCACTAGTGGGGCTGTCTCTGTGTGGGACACCAGCATGGCTGGGCATGAGGGGAAGCCGGAGCCAGTGCTGAGTTTTCTGCCCCAGAAGGACTGCACCAATGGAGTGAGGTCATCAGTTAATTCCGCATATCTTGGGGCTCAGGTTGGGGAGGGAGGTGAGTTGCTGAGGGAGCAAGCATCCTCTCTCAGGGTGCTGACAGACTCTGCCCATCTCTCCCTCCAGCCTGCACCCTAGCCTGCCTCTGCTGGCCACTGCCTCCGGTCAGCGTGTGTTTCCGGAACCCACGGAGAGTGGGGATGAGGGTGAGCAGGAGGTGGACCTTCCCCTACTCTCCATGCGCCATGTCCACCTTGAATGTCAGCTTCAGCTCTGGTGGTGTGGGGGGGCTGCAGACACCAGTATCCCTGATGCTCCCCAGGGCGAGAAGGGACAGGGAGGGACAGAGGGAGGTGGGGGTGAGTTTATATAAAAAGCTTTTATATGTATGATACTAGAGTCCGTGTGTCTGTTTGGGGAGGCAAATGATGGAGATGGGGGAGGGGAGGGGTACTAGTGGGCTCCCTTGTCCAGCAGCAGCAGGGACTGGCATATTGTTCCTGAAACTAGGGTTGAGAGGTGGGACTAGGCAGGAGCCAATGGGGCTGCTGAGCATGGTGTGAAGTCAAGTGAGTGAGGGTGGGGCTTCGTGCCATTGCCTGGTTGGTTGCTAGGCAACTTGGTAAACTGAAGGGGGGGGAACCTGTTTGAAATCTCACTCCCAAGGTAGGGGTGGCAGAGGTCAGGGTGAGTGTGGCTGAGCAGGAGTGGCAGGAGGTGTGTGTCAGACTGTTGGGTGTGACTGTGTGAGACTGTGCAGACAGTGACAGACAAGACACCCGCTCATTCGTGCTCAACACTGTTTAGCATCATCCAGCAGCAGAGGGACCATTACTCAGCTCTGGGGGAAGGGGAGCAGGAGCACCTGCCTCCCCACCCCTGGACTTCCCCAGGAGGCAGGCGAGTAAGCAGCCAGAGTCAAGGACACATGAAAGAGTAAAGGTGCCGAAACACAGACGTCATATTCTGTATTCCCTTCAGATGCAGGATCAGGGCAAGAGTCTTTCATTCAGCAGCTGTCACTGGTCTCCTTGTTTCTCTATTTGTCTGCTCTGTCTTTTGGGGGGGTAGGGGGTGGGTATGTTATTTCAAGCAGTGGCTCCTCCCCCTCCACACACACCTTGCCAAACACAGAAGGGGGCTCTAAAGAGATATTGTCGGTAGGGGATTTGATTTTGGACCTCACAATCAAAGGGAAGGGACGGGAGGCCTGTGCCTGCTTGAGAGGGGAGAGGAATGTCACCTCTGCCCAGAGGTGCTGAAAGCGAGGGTTCTTACACCCAAAAAGGCAAATCCTCCTCCCTTCCCCCAGGATAATTGGAAACAGCCCTTCCGGCTGAATTCGGGTTTGGGGTTGTAGGTGCTCCTTTTCCTCTCCTAGCCTTGGATCTCCCCACAGCCATCCAGGAAAGGCCCAAGTTTACCCCCTAATCTCTTGCCTTTCACCCCACCCCAAGATAACAGTAAAGGGGTCCAGGAGGCTGTGACAAAAGAGACCCCAGGGGCGGGACTTCAGCGACCTGGGTTTGGTTTCTGGCTTTATCCCAGACGCCCTGTGTGACCTTGGGCAAGTCACAGGGCCTCCGTGAGCCTCAGTTTCTTCATCATTACAGTGGGGATCCTTTAGCTCTGTCCCTTCCACTTCACACAGGTAGTCGTGACGATCATCTCAGTCCACTTTGTAAAGTGCGAAGCCTTCAAGGTTATTATTCTCTACAGATCTCCCGGGAGCAACGGTGTTGTTTTGGGACAGCGGAGGAGGATGCTCCTGGAGCAAAAGGGGCTGGGCTCCTCCGGGTGGAGAAGGCGAGAACCTTCTTGGATTTGAGAGGAAGGTTCCAACCGCTCGGGCAATCCGAGGGCAGGAGGGGAGACGGGCAGAAACTAAGCCAGAGACAGAGTTGGAGAGACAAAGGGGGCGTGAGAGACCGCGCCAGGGAGTGAGGCGGGGCGGCGGGGCGAGGCGGCCCGGCGGGAGGTGCACGAGGTGAGGGAGGTGTGGCGGGCGTGGGCTGCGGGATCCTGCCGCCGGCTCCGACTCGAGCTCCAGCTCCGGTTTTTCCCTCCGCCATGCTCTCCCCCTCCCCGCCTCTCCTTTAACTCCCCCCTCCTGGGCTCGGGACTGGTTTCCTCCCTTAGCCCTCTGCCTTCAATCCCGGCGAGGCTGGGGCTCCGGCTCGGGGACCCCTTCCTCGCTCCCTCGTTCGGCGCCCCATGCCGCCGCCGCCCAGCCCCCGGCTCCCTCAGTCCCCTACTTAGGCCCGCTCACAAATCCCGGGGCGCTGGAGCGTGGGCCGGGGCCGTAGGGCGCCTGCAGACGGCCCCTGGAGAAGGGCTCCTGCGGGCTGAGCGCTCCGTAGCGGGGGTGCGGGCAGAGCAGGAAGCGGGTCCGCGTGGGAGCGGGGGGCGTCAGCCACCCGGGTGGTCGGGGCAGAATAGTCAGGGCAGGCCAGGCAGTCACCCCAGGGGTGAGCGACTTTGGGGGAGTTGGTGCCCCGCCCCCCAGGCCTTGGCGGGGTCATGGGGGCCCCCCATTCTGGGCCGGGGGGCGTGCGAGTCGGGGCCCTGCTGCTCCTTGTTTTTTTGGGGCTGGTGTCTGGGCTCAGCCTGGAGCCTGTCTACTGGAATTCGGCGAATAAGAGGTGAGCGCCCGGGGCTGGGGAGACCCCCACACCCTCCGGGCAGGGACTGTGGAAGCTTTGGGGACCAGCGGGGCTGGGTTCTCTGAGCTGGGAGGAGGCTGGAGGGAGGGTGCTGGTGCTCTGATGTGAGCTGATGGGTAAATAGACAGAGGTGATCTTGGGAGCCAGACTCCTGGGTCGCACAGAGAGCTGGATGTGGGTGGTGATATCTATGTGTCAGGAGTTTGAAAGACCCCAAAGGAGCAAGGATCCGAAAGTTCATGGGTAGCTGGGAGGGCAGTGGAGTGGTTATTTGGGTTTGTGGGAGAATTGTGTGGTATCCGGGGCTGGGCTTGGAGGGAGCCTGGTTAATGTCAGCTCTCAGGAGAGCAGCTGAGTAGGTGCTGCTGAGGCGCTGAGGGGAAGGGCAGGGTGCCTCCCTCTCCAGAAAGGACTCAGCGTTGGGGATGGGAGGGAAGGGGGCTCATTTTGGGGGCTCTGGGGACAACTCCCCCAAGGCTTCTTGACTCTCTTCACACAGTCTGTCTCCCAACTCTTGCCCACAGCCAGAGTCAGTGAGCCCTTGGCAGAAGAGTTTCCCAATCAGAAGATATTCCTGCCTTCCTGGCTTGGGGACTTCTTTCTGGAAGAAGCCTGGAGCCCCCTAAAGCCTCCTCTTTCCCTCTTGCATCTGGAGTCCTGAGGACTCCACTGCCCCCTCCCCCATCTTTGCTGCAAACTTCCATCAGACCCTCTGGTCCAGGGCATGCTTGCTTTGTTTTGAAAAAAGGCCAGGGGTCAGATGAAACTTCAGGCCACACAGGGTAGGACAGAACCCTTGGGAGGTTATCTGGGTCCCTTGCCTCCATGCAGATCTCTCTCCCCATTAGCAAGAAGAGTTCTGTGTTTTGAAAACTTTCCTGGGGAGGCCGTACAAGGGAGGCCGTGAGAAGGGGGAGGGCTTTGGAGCTCATCAAATCCTAGGTCTTAATCCTAGCTCTGCTGTTTTCAGCTGTGTGGCCTTGGGCATGTCACTTAACCTTTCTGAGTTTGTATCCTCAATCCTTACAGCTTTTATGAGGATTAGAGGTAAGGTGTTTGAACATGTTATATGCTCGTTAAAGGAGAAGTAGGATTATTGTTCTTCCTCTCTTTACTTCACAGCCTCCCTCACATTGCCCTCTCCTGGCCTCCTTCTCATATCTCTTTGGGCATAATCTCAAACGTCTTTTCTCTACTCAGTCTCCTACCCTCCAACTCCCGACTGCAGTTTGAGTGTCAGGTGCAGCGTGAGGACATAAGTTAGGCTTATTCTGATCGAGTTGAGAAAAGGCAGTTAGGGTGTTCTGGGGGCTTTTTGGGATGTTGGCTGGGAAGGAGTGGGTCATTTGAAGTCTGGGAAGACACCAAGCAGCAGTCCCATGAGACCCAGTTCTGAGATCCTGTCTGCCATTAATGCCCAAGGATGGGCTGCAGTTGTTGGCAAATAGTGGCTGTGCTGGGCCAGTGGATGCCTGGGCCAAGGGAGATGTGGGCTTGTGTTGGCTGTGTTTAGAAAAGCCAGCTCCTTCAAATCCAAAGCACTTTCCCTAGGAAGTCTGAGACCTGGGGCAGGAGGGGTACCCAGCAGGGAAATGTCTCTGGCAGTTGGCCCCTAGACCCTGGTTCCCTTTAGCCCCATTTAGGGCAATTGCCTGACCAGACATTTGCCTCCTGTCACATTGCCTGACTAACTTGGGACACTGGTCTGGATCACCCTTCACAAACCCTCCCCCACCCTGCTCCCTTTGCCCTAAATCCCTGAAATTCAGTGGTGGCCTGGGGGAGGGGAGGCTCTGCCCCCATGGTTGACTGCCATGGAATAGTGAAATCACCTGGGAAGGGTGGGCTGTGTGGTTCCAGAGAGGCCAGCTCCTTGGTAACTGGCATCCTGTTGCCACGGCAACAGGGCTGGTGATGGAGCGAGAGATGGCAGTGTGCATGTGGTGAGGGCGGGCTGAAGAGTGCATTTGGGCACACCAAGGGGCAGGAGACCTCTGAGCCTGTCTTCCTGCTGCTTCCGACGTGAGCTTGCAGAGTCCTTAGTGCTTGCTCTGTCAGAACAGACTTTCCACTCAGATAAAGGCTATCCTGCAGGGATGTGGGATGAGGGAGGCAAAGCTCTGGGGGCCAGACCTCTGACACTTCTCCTCCTTGTCCACCTCGCCCTCCTCCCCATAGGTTCCAGGCAGAGGGTGGTTACGTGCTTTACCCTCAGATTGGGGACCGGCTGGACCTGCTCTGCCCCCGGGCCCGGCCTCCTGGTCCTCACTCTTCTCCTAATTATGAGTTCTACAAGCTGTATCTGGTAGGGGGTGCCCAGGGCCGGCGCTGTGAGGCACCCCCTGCCCCAAATCTCCTTCTCACTTGTGATCGACCAGACTTGGACCTCCGCTTCACCATCAAGTTCCAGGAGTACAGCCCTAACCTCTGGGGCCATGAGTTCCGATCACACCACGATTACTACATAATCGGTACTGCTGGGCAGAAGGCAGAGTTGAGTGGGGAGGTGCTCCCTGGATGGGGGGCAGATGAGGGAGGGGACCACTGGAGCCAAGAGAGACCCCTTGTACCCTCAGGTGGTGTTGGGGCCAGGGCAAGGAGACAGAATAGGGGCAAGGCTCTGGAGTGCCAACTTCTCCCTCTGGCTCTTGTCTCCCAGCCACATCGGATGGGACCCGGGAAGGCCTGGAGAGCTTGCAGGGAGGTGTGTGCCTTACCAGAGGCATGAAGGTGCTGCTCCGAGTGGGACAGAGTGAGTGGTGCTGAGGCACACCGCCTAGGAGCTGAGGGAGGTTGGGGCAGTACCATTATGATCAGAGGGCTGCTATCTTAGCCCCTCTCTCTTGGGTCTTCCCCATCTCCAGGTCCCCGTGGAGGGGCTGCCCCCCGAAAGCCTGTGTCTGAAATGCCCATGGAGAGAGATCGAGGGGCAGCCCACAGCCTGGAGCCTGGGAAGGAGAATATGCCAGGTAGGAACCAGCAGTCCAGTCTCCTGCCTTCCCAGCCTCCTCTGCCCTCGGACCCCAGCTGCCCAGCCTCCACCCTCTCCCTCCCTCTTCAGTTTTGGAGCGGTGATACAGGAAAGAGGAGAAGAGAGGATGGGAGGGTGGGAGGGGAACAGAGGCCAAATGAGGAGAAGACTCAATTAGAACTAATTAGTCAAGTCAGTGCTTCAATCAGTGCTGTCAGAGAAGTGGGGAGGACTGCCTGGCATGGAGCTGAAGGGCTGGACACACCTGGATTCTGAGTGGGGCTTGGTGGGGGAGGGGAGGTGGGGTCCCCAAGGGGCCTGGGCACTGCTAGGGAAGCCCATGGGGACCCCCAAGGCTGGGTGTCCAGATGCCCAGGTGGCTCCTTCAGCCCCTCCCCCTCTTTCCTCCACCCCTTCCCTGCCAGGTGACCCCACCAGCAATGCAACCTCCCGGGGTGCTGAAGGCCCCCTGCCCCCTCCCAGCATGCCTGCAGTGGCCGGGGCAGCAGGGGGGCTGGCGCTGCTCTTGCTGGGCGTGGCAGGGGCTGGGGGTGCCATGTGTTGGCGGAGACGGCGGGCCAAGCCTTCGGAGAGTCGCCACCCTGGTCCTGGCTCCTTTGGGAGGGGAGGATCTCTGGGCCTGGGGGGCGGAGGCGGGATGGGACCTAGGGAGGCTGAACCTGGGGAGCTAGGGATAGCTCTGCGGGGCGGTGGGGCTGCAGACCCCGCCTTCTGTCCCCACTATGAGAAGGTGAGTGGTGACTATGGGCATCCTGTGTATATCGTGCAGGATGGGCCCCCCCAGAGCCCTCCAAACATCTACTACAAGGTATGAGGGCTCCTCTCACCTAGCTGTCCTGGATCCAGCCCTTCTTGGGGTGCTCCTTCAGTTTAATCATGGTTGGAGGGACACCTCTAGCATCTCCTTGGCCCCCTCTGCCCCACCAGCTCCTTTGTTCCTCCTGGCTGTTGCCCTCTTCTCCACTTTTAGGATTCCTTAAGACTTCCACTGAACCACCTCCTGCCCTCTGGTTGGCCACGTGTGCCCAGCTCTGTCTCTGTGTTCCTGGGTCCTATTCCCTTGGGGAGGGGGCAGAGACTCAGCCTCCTTTTCTGACCACGACCCAGGGATCCTTGTCTCCCTCGCCCACCGAGAGCTAGGGGCGGGAACAGTCTGTCTTTTGGTTGGCACCTCTTTCTTTCTGCCTCTCACTGTTTTTCTCTTCTCTTCTCTCTCTCCCTCTTATTCTCTTTCTCCCTCTTCTGTCTCTAGGTCTGTTCCTCTTCCCTAGCATCCTCCTCCCTTCATCTCCTTTTACCCTCTTGGCTTCTTATCCTGTGCCTCTCCCATCTCCTGGGTGGGGGCATCAAAGCATTTCTCCCTTCAGCTTCCTCTTCTGACCTCTCTTACCAACCACCCCCCTCAGTCTGCCAAAAATGGGGGCCTTATGGGGAAGGCTCTGGCACTCCACCCCAGCTCAGGGCATGGGCAGCAGGGCCTCCTTCTCTGCCCTGCCCCAGGCCTTTACATACTTACTCCAGCCATTTGGGGTGGTTGGGTCATGACAGCTACCATGAGAAGAAGTGTCCCGTTTTGTCCAGTGGCCAATAGCAAGATATGAACCAGTCGGGACACATATGGACTTGGTCTGATGCTGAATGGGCCACTTGGGACAGGAAGTGACTTGCTCCAGACAAGATGTCACCAGGCCTGGACAGAAGTGGCCTGGGAAGTGGCAGAAGCAGTGCAGCAGGAACTGGAAGTGCCTTCATCCAGGACAGGAAGTAGCACTTCTGAAATAGGAAGTGGTCTGGCTGGAACTCCAAGTGGCTTAGTCTGGGGGTGGGGGGAGGCGGATGGTTCTTACTCTGTGGAGAAGGGAGGGCAGGAAGAACTTCCTGTTTCAGGAGGAAGCTGGAACTTACTGACTGTAAGAAGATAGGCCGGACTGAGGAGGATTTTCCTAGTATTCAGTGGCGCTTCCCAAGATCTCCCTTCCCTGTTCTCTGTGCTTTTAGGACAGCTAAGATGACTGCCATCTGCTGTGGCAGGCCCAATTTGTCTTGTTCTTCCCTTTCCATATCCCAACAGGACTACCCCAAGAACCCATGTATTGTCCCCGGTAACCCAGATGGCTGTCTTGCTCATCACATCCTCCCTATCCTACTCCCTTCAAACTCAACACAGCTCCCTTCTTAGTGACCAGAATGGTGGCCTACTGACTGGTCTAGCTGACAGTGGTACTTAGCAACTGCCAGTTTCCATAGTGACCAGCTTATACCTCTTCCTGCCCTCTAGTGCACAATTGTATGTTGCCTGACTTTCCTCCCAGCTCAGTTTCATTAGGTCAGAGCTGCCCTTGGGCACCAAGTCGGCCACCTCAGTCACCAGCCAAGATGGTTGCTTTGTCCACCAGAGGTCAAGTCATCTCTCTGGTGCTGTAGTTCCCAGCTCCTTCCTGATTTTTCTAATCACTCTTTCCAGGGAACAGGAAGTTGATATTGCCATGGGGGAGGTGGCGGGATATGGCTGTCACCTCAATAGTTTTACTGTAAAAGAGAAATTTGAACAACAAAAACCAAAAAAAGAATAAAAAACTTCAAAAGTTGATGAGAAGGCTGGAGAGTGACTGGACATGAATTGGGACAGAGAACTGGTGGTTAGAATGGCTTTCGAGCTGAGGGTTGGATTGCATGAAACCAATGGGTAGGGAGAGCGTTGGGTTGGAGGGGTGAGGTGGGCAGTGCATGGGCTGGGGATAATGAGCTGAGTGAGAAGGCTGAGGAAGGCAGCCACCTCGGGGGAGGGAGAGAGGGACCCAGGTGGGAGTGGGTGTTGCCAGTACATCCAAATGGGGATGTATGTGGATATACGTTCACACGTGGGGAAAGCCTGGGTATCTATTGCTAAACCAAAGCACCGGAGATGAGGCAAGTTGTAGTCAGAAACAAAGTGGAAAAAACAAATTTACGTGTTCAATCTATTCCCTACCACCCCTGCTCAAGGCACCTCTGACTTGGGGAGTTTTGCTCTTGGGGATTCATCTGGGGAGAAGGGGTGTGACTGCCCAGAAGACTCAGGGACCCAGGCATTAAGCTGCCTGTCCCCTGGCTCCCTATGTACCCACAACCCAGGCTCGTCTCCCCTAAAAGCCCAGGTGCCCAGCCCCCTAGACTCAGCCCCATTCTCCATCCACAAAAGCAGCCGTCAGGAGCATCTCTGGAGCTGGTCAGCAGAGGTCACAGCCTCTGCCCTGCCTGCTCCTCCCCTGACTTTAGGTTCCCTCCTGCTGTCTCCCATCTGCCTGGAGGTCAAGGGGTCCTCCTGCCCCTCCTCTGTCCGGTGGGACCCCTGCCCTCTCCCCTGTCTGAGCAAGATGCCTGGGTCCCGAGAGGTGCAGGTGCTGTAGGAGAGGAGTTGAAAACTGGGAGGCCAGGTGCTGGGCTATCTGGAATGTACTCCTGCCTTCCTAGCCTGAGCCCTCACTGGAGCTGCCTGAGGTGGGGAGGCTTGAGGGGGGTGGAAGGGTTGGTCCCTGCCCCTTAGTGGGGGTTGGTTGTCATGGCAACATCCCCTTCTCCACACAATGGGAAGCCCCCCTCAGCCTCCCGCGTGGATGGAGCCGACAGCCCCATCGCTGGCTATCAGCCTCAGGGACTTGGCAACCGTCACTATGGCAACCCAGAGCCCAGCAACAGGGCCCAGTGAGAAAGGGAGGGGTCCAAGACTGGGGCAGGGCTGTGTGTGTGAGGGGGCAAGGGAGCTGAGGGAGACTCCCCCTACACATACATCTAGAGGCACAGGTGGAGAGACAAGAGGGAAAAGAAGGGGGGATAAATATTCTCCGTGACAGACAAACACTTCACCAAAGCAGTCGAGACATCATAACATGCCGAGAGACAGGAAGACACCTGGAGACAGATGCACAGCTGGAGAGAGGAATAGCACATTCTGCACAGCACCCTGGGACACACCCCCTCGGAGCACTGGCATCTATAGATTCCTTGCCACCTCCAACATTAACAACACGAGTGTAGGGACTTGTGTATCTTTTGAGCTATTTGAAAGCACTGGTGACTTCCACACAGAACAGCACATGCCATCCTATTCTCTTTCTGGGTACAAATCCATAAACACACTCCTAGGGTAACAACTACAACAAAACGAATAAAGAGGCAGGAAGACATTTATTCATTCGTTTGTTCATTCCTTCCCTCGACACCATATTGCATGTCTACCTTGTTCCAGGTACTGTTTCAGACACTGGGAGTATATGGTGAATAAGACAAAGTCCCTGCTTTCATGGAGTCCACATTTTGTTGGGGAACAACATAATAAAATTTCTGGTAGTGATAAGTGAAGTAAACAAAACGGAGTACCAGGAGGAAGACGATGGAGAGTAACAGGAGGAAGAAGACGGAGAGTAACAGGTAGATGCTTTAGATTAGGACATCAGGAAGGTCCCTATGAAGAGGTGACATTTGGTCAAGACCTTGAATAATGAGGAGTAAGGCATGCGATATGTGGAAGGACATACCAGACAGAGGGAACAGTAAGTGCAAAGCATAGAGGTGAAATCTCGGAGTGCTTGGGGACAGCGAGAAGGACATCACAACCACATGCATATTCTAGATGTGTCCTGTCCTTCCCCAGCCTTAGCCTGTAGAGGAACAAGTCACTAAGGGTCTAGAATCCACATTTAGGAAGTTGATTTAACTCGGTCTTCCGTTTTTTTCCCCTTTGTTTCCTGTGCATATGTGAGTTGTGTTTTCCTCAACTAAATTTTAAGCTCTGGGAGGGCAAGGATGATGCTCTGAGATTTTGGGGCTGTGGAACAGCTGCTGGTACAGAGTCTAGAGCAGGCAGGCAGAGTGGAAATAAGAGAACTGAGAGGGCTGGGGGCCAGGGAAACTAAAGCAGCCCCCTCCCCAACAGCGTAGGATTGAGGCTGTCCTGGGGGCTGTGCTGCCGACAAGCTCAGGCCTTGCCATCCTTCCAAACAGAAGTAGGATGTAAATTAGGTTGAGGCGTGTGTGTTTGTGTATGTGGTTTATGTTGGGAGTTTTAAGGAAAGGAGAATAGAGCAAAGGGCTGTAGTGGAAATTTCTGATGGGGAATGGCTGACATCACAACTGGAATTTCGGTTGAAATGAAAAATGGAGCTTCTTAAGGGGCTACATGGGAGCTCACAAACATGGGGCACCCCCTTCCCCAAGGAGAGTTTCAAGATCTGTAGGCAGACTGGGAGAAATGTTGCAGGGTGGTTTGGAGGCAGGGGGCTGGCTGGGATGGGCTCAGAGAGTTGGGTGGGGGTAGGAAAAAGGATGCAGAATAAACGGGAGTGAAAACAGGGCAGCAGGAGAGATGTTTGAAAGGTCGCAGGAAAGGCGGAGTCCTGAAGGGAGTTCTGAGGGGACCAGGTCCCAGGTACCCCTGATTCCTACAGGGAATTGAAACATTTGGTGTCCTGGTTCTTCTGCTTCCCCCAGTTGCCATCAGAAACTCAGGCATCAGCTCCCTCCAACCCCAGTGGCTGATGATGATGGTGGTGAGATTGAGCAGCCTCAGGGGGCGGCAGCTGGTGAGTGGGGAGGAATCTGTGTGCTCAGCAAACAGCAGCCTCAGTGCCCGGTGGCTGCCTCCTCCCTCATCAATCAGCTCCAGCCAAATGTCCTTGCATTCCCACCACCCCAAGGGGACTGGGGCTGGGCCAGGGTCCCCAGGGGAGTGAGATGGTGATGGGTGGGGGCGGTGGGGGTGGTTCTTGGCTTCCCATCTCTTGGCCCCTGTTCCCTCCTCTCCTGGAAGCTCTCAGCTTTTCGTGTCATGGAACAACTCTCTTCTGGCCCCTACCCTCCGTGAGGGCATCAGCTACAAATCACCTGTGGGAGTCTGCTGGGGGCAAGGGGAGGAGAGGGATGAGTCAGGGCTGAAGAGGAATCTACTCTGGTTCTCACGGGACCAGCGCAGGGCACAGTCAGCAGGGAGGCTGCTGGCACAGAGGCCCTGTCCCCCCGGCTGGCCTCTCCATCCCTGACGGATGCTCTGGACAGCAGACTGAGACCTCGACCCCCTGAATGTCCTCTCTCTTCCCATCTTCTCCTAGCCCCCAGCCCTAATTTCCCATTTCCTGTCAAGATCCAGAGGTCCAGCCCCCAGCTGATCCCAAATCTGCTGCTCCCCATTGGGGACTGGGGCCCCTAGACCTCAGCCTCTGGCTCATTCTGCCCCTCCTCAGCCCTTGCTCCCCTCAGGGACCCAGGCGTCCTGCCCACTCCCTTCACCATAACAACCATTCTTTTGGAGTTGTTTAAGACTTTAACATCATTTCATTAAGTCAGCTAGTTCAGAGAAGGTTGGGGGCACAAAGAGACTGGGGTGGGCAAAAGAGGGCCAAGGTAGGGGGGAAGCAAGGGAAGAGCCCCTCTCGCTCCGTGGAGAAGGCTCTGAGAAATCAAATATTGACAGTGAGAGAACAGAACTTATTAAAGCTGGGACAGGGGTATGTGTGGGGGGAGCTGTGGGAATGGCCGGATGCCTGGGTTCTGAGGGTAATGACGGTTCTGGGAGGAGGGAAAAGCCTGAGGCTGGGAGGGTGCAGTAAGACTAAGTGGTCTTGCAGTACAACTCCTCTGCCCCTTTCCTTTGGGAGGTACTGAGTCTTGCTACCTGGGCTGTTTCTCAGCTGTCCCCTAGAGCCCCTGGAGACAAGACCCCCATCACAGCTGTGGTTGGCCCCCCTCCTCCCTTTCCCCACCTCCACCTCTGTTGATGAGCTTCAGCAGCGTTTAATCGGATTGAGCAGTAATTAGCAAAGCAAGATGTTTGATTACCTATTTAGCATAATGTAGGGGGTTGGGATCCCTAGGCAGAGCCAAGGTTTGGGGCGGGGGAGTCAGAAAAGAAACGGGGTCTACACAGTGTTCCTTTCCCTGAGGGAGCCATGAGCCCTGTCTATAAGGCTCCCCACTCTCTGCCTCTCCTCAAATCTTCACTCCTTTGGAAGGACTTTTCCCTGGGGGAATCTGACCAATCATGTCACCTCTCTCTGCCACCCACTGCCTATCTGGTTGGAGGATCACCCGCTTAGCCCAGCTTGCTGTGCAGCTGGTTTTGGGGTGTGGCAGGACCCTTCTCTCCTTCAATCCTTGTCCTCGGCAACAGGACTTTGGGCTGGGCAGGAGGCCACAAATCAGAGCCCAGAAACCCACCTTACGGATAATGGGAGAGGAAGGGTGCCAAGGGAAGGGGCTGTCAATTCTGGAAATTTAAGATAGAGTAGGTGGGATGGTGAGGTCAGGGTTGGGTCTGGGTGTGGATTAATCCACTGGCCCTTCAGAAGTCTGTCACTCCTCGCAGTGCCAGACTGGTGTAATGAGCCTCATCAGGTGTGAACACCCACCAGGAAAAGGGGGAACTGAGGTGCCAGCCTCTCCCCTCCTTATCCAGCAAAGAAAATGTCATCAATTTAGCTCCTCATGGAAATGTAATCAGTGGGCTCACTGCTGGCTTTGTCTTAATTAGGCACTATTGATGGAAGCAGGGAGGGTGCCTTCCCATCCCCCTGACTAGGCTTCCTCCCTGTATCTCCTAGGCCTCCCTGAAGCTTCTCCTAGTCCCAGGTACACCTCAGTCTTCTAGGCGCCTCTTGGGAGCCTTAGCCCCGGCTCGCAGCGCCCCCTAGCAGCGACTGAGGTCTGCCCTTCCTCTCACACCCCTCTCCTCTCGCTTCCCCAGGACTAAGCCTTTGTTCTTATGGAGAGCCGAGCCCCTCCCCGGCCAGGTCACCTTCCCCAGGGAGTCCCCGCCTCCTGTTCCCCCCAAAACGAGCGACGCTTTCCAAAGCCAATCCTCAGATTCCAAAAATTCCAGTTCCGTTCTTCTCTCTCTTCCCCCGCCCCGCGCTGCCCGGTGATCCTAGACCCCAGTCCGAACTAAGAAGGGGGAACAAGCGGGAGGGCAGGGGTGCTCCAGCCCCAGTTTTTCTCCCGGACCCAGCTGCAGCCACGGCTGCCTCGAAATCCTGGAGCGCCTTCTAGAGCGTCAATGAACGTAGTAGGCGGGACACCGAGCGCCATCTGCTGGACTCCTTCGGGATGGAGCCCGCAGACCCGGGTGTGGGGTCGGGCGCCTGGGTTCCCCTGCTTTTTCAGTGTCCTGCGGAAGGGTAGCTTATTGTTTCCAACCCTAGCCCTTCCAGCCCCGTCCTCAGACCAGGCCCTACTCGCACTCTCCGGCCTGCCAGATTTAGTGGCTTTCCCTTGCTCCCCAGCCCTCTGGCCCCGGGTCCCTGCTAGGGACACGCGCGCCGAGCGGGTCAGTGGAGCAGCGGAGCAGGGCTTCACTGCGCTTGCGCCAAGGAGGCCGGCTCTGCGGGCGCGTGCCCCGGCCGCTGTCCCCCTCCCGCCGGGGTTGTCATGGCGACGCGTGCCGCCCCAGAGGGCCACGCGGGGAAACTTCTTAGCTGGAGTGGCCCATCGGTCGGCCTAGGGAGGAGAGGGTCGGCGTCGTGAGGTGTGTGTCGGGGGCAGAGGGGAGGAGGGGAGAAGTGGGAAGCTTCGAGGAGAGGGGGCAGTGGTGATGGGGTAGGAGGGAGAGTCGTAGGGGGGAAGAAGGGGCAGTTGCGAGGGAGGGAAGGAGCAATTGTGGAGGGAGAGGGAGAGGAGAGGAAGTTGTGGGGGGAGGGGAGAAGGGGCAGTTGTGGGGGGAGGGGAGAAGAAGGGGCAGTTGGGGGTAAGATGAAGCGCCGACAGTTGTGACAGTTGGGTGAGGAAGCTGTTGTGAGGGGAAATTTGCCCACTGGTAGGCAGTTTGAGGAGAGGGCCGGTCTGCTACATATTTCCTGATTAATAGGATGAGTCCCCAGCTCGTAGAACAGCTCCTCCTGGGGCCTGCGGTGGGATCGTGGATGAACCCCTTGGGAGGGAGGACTCCCAACCTTGCCAGCCGAATGCTCCTGAGGCTCCAGTTGGAGGCAGGGAAGCACAGGCTGATGCTTCTCTGGAGACTGGTGGAGGGAGCTGCCCTGCTGTAGTTGGTTTATTGATGTGTTGGCCTAATAGAGCGTTTTTCCTTGGAGCAAAGTACAAATCCTTCAAGTTTGAAACTCATAAGCTATGATCAATGCCTGTGGCAGCCTGGGGGGATGAGGAAGGAAAGCCACAGGTGGCTGTCAGGCTCTAGCTGAATGAAGAGGGAATGCCCAGGGAATCAAACATTGCCCTTGGGATTCTGAATGCCTGCCAGAGATGCCCCTGCTTCCGGCTATCCTACTTTTCTGAGAGGCACTACTGTGGCCTTCCTCATTCCCCCGTTCTCTTCTCTGCCAAACACAATTTAAAATTCAACGTTGGAAGACTTTTGTCCTTTCTTCTTCCAATCTGTTCTCAGGGCATTTGGAGTCAAATGATCTTGGTCTTTATTATCAGTTAGCACGCTCGGCCAACTATGCTAAGAGACCTTTTCAGTACACACAAAACAGGGTTCCTACCCCTCAGAAATTAAAAGCTAAGGAGATGTGTTGTAAATACAGTTTTTCTTTAAGGAAGTTGCAGATTTTAGTGTGGGTAGGAGGAGCATTTTTCCATTTCCCTCCTTCCAGGTGGTAACTTGGAGGAAAGGAGGTACATAGGAAAATCATCTTGGTTTGCTTCATTGACTTGACACAGTGACAAAGGATAGGGAACTTGGGGACAGTCTTCCCTTCCCTGGGCCTTCTCTCACTCACTGGTGGCCCTGAGGGGTAGAGTGGTTGAGGGTGTGTGCAACCGCACCTCAGCTTGGTAGGTCTTTTTCTGACTGTCTTATATTCTCATACCTCTGGGCAGAGATAGGGATTCCTAACCCCTCATTAGTGGAGTGTCTGGTGGGCCACCATCTTTAACTTCCATTTATTGCTAAGGCCTTGAGAGACTGACTTTGATTTTTAAGCCAATGCTCTGAAGAAAGTGGGATATCCCAGGGAAAGGAGTGAGGAGCAGGGTGTGGGTACCCCCAGATAAGATTATGATACCTAGGGTCTCAGTCAATTTGTGAATTCAAAAGGGACTGTGTGTATCAGGGAGCTGGGTTGGAGGTGGATCTGATTGTGAACTCGCAGCTTCCCGTGTGTCTGCAGGTTTTACTTACACGATGTCCAGCAAAAGTGAGAAGAAGCAGAGAGTGAGTGGCCGTGGAAGTGCCCGCCAGCGAATTGCTCAGGCCGCTCTGGCGACACAGGTCGTGGAGACCACCCTGCCCACCAGCGAGCTGGAGCCCGAGCCCAGGCTTCTCAAGGAGGAGCCTGGTGGGTACATGCTGGGAAGGCGCTTGGAGGCAGAATGTTTGTTTTGAAGGAGGGTCTGAGGGCTGGGGGGTAGGTTCTGTTGCTTCTGGGTAAAAAGTAGGGAGTTCAGTGGAATCTCAGGCCTGCTGCTGGGTCCCTTTATTTGTGTGTTTTCCTCCTGGCCAGCCTTATACTTGTTCTTTCTGTCTTAAAATTTCCCCCCAATGCACCAAGAGCTCACCAGCCAATCCTTTGTTTTAGTCTCTCTCTCCTTATTTCAAATGTTCTGGTTGCTCCTACCCCAATGAAGAGGGTTTGATCTCTTCCTTTTTCTCATTTTCACCCTGTGTGGCAAAACAAATACTGTTTTTCTCCCATTAAGCCCATCACCATGGAAACTCAGCCTGCTTTGCCACGGTTTGAATCCTAAGCCCGACTGATGCTTTCTCCCATCTGTTTAAGGCTCTTGTATCTCGGCCCTCATTTTGGCAGGGCCTTGGTCGACTAAGGGTGTTCAGGTTCAGGGGCACATAAAAAGAAGCTTGACATCTAGATTGAGGGAGAAAAGAGTTTAAAGAGGCTGCTTCTTGTGGCTTTGATCTGAGGGACTGCTTCCTCAGAGGGTGAGCCTGGGGCCAATAGGGTTGGGAGGTGTTTAGTAGCTGTTGCTGTCACTGGCCAGTGTAGACACAACTCTGAGCTAAGGATAGCCTCCCCTTTTACCTGGGGCTTCTTTACACTGCTAGCAGCCTGTCAAGATGAGAGAAATAGGATCCCTTTTTAGTATTAAAAGCTGAGAGATTAAGCATGGGCGTGAGAGAAAGGTCCAGGGTACATAGGGTCCTAGGATCCAGATGTTAGAAATGTGCAAAATTTTCTCTTCTGAGTTCTCTTGAAAGCAGTTGAAAATAGGACTGGCTCCTAGAAGCTGGGTACCAGGAGTAGGCGGAGGGAGGCAGGAAGGCAGTGAGGTTCAATTTGGAGACTACTCCGGAGTGGGAAGGGAAGGAGCTTCTAAATGAAAGCATTGACCACCAAACACCAAGGACCTCTGACCCCTTTAGCTATGAGCCTTTTTATTGTTTGATTTGGAGCTTTCCAGCTGGCATGTAACCCTGGTAGAGGTTCAGAGAAGACTTGGGCCTCCAAGGCAGCCCTGAAATGAACATTAATCCTCATAATCTCTGGAGTTGGGGAGGGATTGAGGCCTGTCCCACTGAGGCGGAGTGGACCTGCTATGGTCTGAATGTTAGTGTCTCCCCAAATTCATATGTTGAAATCCTAATGCCCAATGGTATGACATGGGCGTGGGATGGTATTAGGAGGTGGGGCCTATGGTAGGTGCTTAAATCACGAGGGTGGAACTGTCATGAGTGGGATTCGTGCCTTCTAAAAGTGGCTGCAGTGAGATTCCTAGCCCCCTTCCGCTGTTTGCGACCCAGAAGAGGGCCCTCACCCAACCATGTTGGCACCCTGATCTAGGACTTCCAGCCTCTAGAACTGTGAGAAATAAATTTCTGCTCTTTATAAACCACCTAGTCTGTAGTATTTTGTTATAGCGGCCTGAACGGACTAAGACAGAGCCTAAAACACTGCTTGGTAAAGGATGGTGGATTGAAGGGCAAACACCCTTTTGAGGTCTGTATTGACGTCCTTTGCTTCCTTAAGTGCTCCTCAATTCCCAGTAAGAAAAGAAGAAGCTGAAGTACACGTTCATAGTCCCATATCTGTGATTTTTTGTGTGTGAGGAATATTGGCCCTGAGCTAACATCTGTGCCAGTCTTCCACTGTTTTGTATGTGGGTCACTGCAACAGCGTGGCTTGATGATTGGTGTAAGTCCGTGCCCAGGATCCGAACCCTTGAACCTGGGCCGCCGGAGCAGAGTGTGCTGAACTTAACCACTATGCCACCAGGCCCGCCTCTTTATCTGTAATTTTAAAAAACCCTAAGAACTAGAAGCTTTTTTGCCCCAAAGTTTGGCATCCAAACTTATTTGGTGGTAAAATGTAACCTAAGCTGACGTGAAGGTATTTATAGTCTATTTAAGCCACTTAGTATAAATTTTCATATGTTTTACTACAGAAATACTAATCTTAAAAGTGTATGGAGTGCTGTTCTCGAGCCTGCTGTGGGGTGGGAGGTACATACCATACTATGTTATAATTCTAAATGCTGGAATATACTTGACCCCAAGGGTTTTGAATAAGGGATTGTAGACCTGTATTTCCCACAAATCTGAAAAAGTATAGAGAACAATATAGTGAACACCCAGGTATCCATCACCCAATGTAAGAATAAATCATGATAGCAACAAGTGAACCCCTCTGTTTGTCCCCCTGCCAAGCCCTTCTCTCCTTCTCCAGAGGTCACTGCTATCTGAGTTGACGTTTACCATTCTCAAGCTTGTGTTTTTTTGATGAAGAAGATTGGCCCTGAGCTAACATCTATTGCCAATCCTCCTCTTTTTTGCTTGAGAAAGTTTGTCACTGAGCTAACATCTGTGCCCATCTTCCTCTACTTTATATATGGGACACCGCTGCAGCATGGCTTGACGAGTGGTGTGTAGGTCCGCACCCGGGAGCTGAACCTGCAAACCCCGGGTCGCTGAAGTGGAGCCCACAAACTTAACCACTACACCACCGGGCTGGCCCCTCAAGCTTGTTTTTTAAATTTTTGCTGCATGTATCCATGAACATCATATACTAGTATCGTATTGCACGGTTTAGACTTTAGATAAATTGTATTATATAAGACAAAACCAGTTTACCAGTTACTCAGATCATCTCAGCCTCCCTCCCCTGGCCTAGTTCCTGTCTGAAATCTTGATTGCCCTCGGTTTTCTCAAAGGGCCTTGGATTTCTTGGTTACCTGTCCCACTTACCACTAAGCTCCTAGAATCGTCTATTCTATCTTTTTCATGATTTCCTTCCTTCGCCTGTATGCCTCACTCCCCTCTTAGTTTTTCTTTCTGGAAGTCAGAGTGTCCTGTTCTCCAGTGTCTTTTGATTCCATCTCATTTGTTCCTTCCTCCTTTCAGCCCATGTGAGATGAGAAACTCACCAGTTTTACCCCTGTCTCCTGTGTGAGCAACAGATCAGGAAGTAGAGAAACACCCTCCTGGATTTTATGGGAGTCCAGAGTGGGTGTGGCGGAAATGAGTGCTCAGTAGCCTGGTTGTTTGGAGAGGGGCAGAATTCTGTGGGCCCCAACTTCTCCGCAAGGGAAGAGGATTGGGAGAAGAATAGAAGGCCAGAAGCTGAATGCTCGAGTAACCTTAGTACTGACTGCCTTCATTCCCCTGCCTCCCTCTGCCCCCCCCAGCCCCAGTCAGCTTTTTAAAGGAAAATTGAGAGTTCACTTACTATAACATTCACCCTTTTAAAGTATACAATTTAGTGATTTGGGGTATATTCACAAAGCTGTGTAACCATCACCAGTGTCTAATTTTAGAGCATTTTCATCCCCTGCGAAAAAAGCCACTTCGAGCACCTTGAGAAATTGGCACTAGATGACCCCTATAGCTTTACTTCTAAGTTGCATCAGAGCCCAGCCTTTTAGCAGTCACTCGCCATTCCCCTTTCCCCCGAGATCCTGGTAACCGCTAATCTACTTTCTGTCCCTATGGATTTTCCTGTTCTGGACATTTCATATAAATGGAATCATACAATTTGTGGTCTTTTGTGACTGGCTTCTTTCCCGTAGCATCATGTGTCCAAGGTTCATCCATGGTGTAGCATTGTAGCAGACCTTCATTCCTTTCTATGACTGAATAACATTCCACCACAATTTGTTTATGGATTCACCTATTGATGGACACTTGGGTTGTTTCCACATTTTTGCTCTAATGAACAGTGCTGCTATGAACATTGGCATGCAAATGTCTGTTCAAGTCCCTGCTTAATTCTCTTAGGTATATACCTAGAAGTGGAATTGCTGGGTCATATTGTGACTATGTTTAACTTTTTAAGGAATGCTTTCATTTTTGAATTTTTATTCTTCCCAGAGCCAGCACTGGAAGAACCTGAAGTACAGAAAGAAGAATTACGGGAGCCTGAGGTGGATGTGGTAAGTTTGGGTTTTCCTTGAGACATATATTCCTCCCAAACAACTGGTGAATCAAAGGATTAGTTATAGAATGGTGTACAAGGAATTCTTTCCAATCTGTCAGTTCCTTCTACTTACTCTCTACTGGTAGCCCACTCACCACAAATCCAGTTCACTGAGTAAAGGGCAAAGTTGTCTGTGCGCCCCCATCCCTCTAGACAAAGAGGGCTTTAAGTGAGGAACAGATCTCTTCACTGTCCCTTCCTCATCTCCCCACCTTTGGTGATACTGCAACAAGCTTCATCAGTCGTGTGGGTGAACATCTGAACATGTTGAACAAGCTGGGCAGATATTGTCCTAATTGGGTTCTGTTTCTAAGACATCTCTTTCTTCCTTTCCTTTGATTCTCTCCTTTGGCTGAAGAATTTACAGAAGCCACTTCAAGTACTTTGAGAAACTGGCACTAAATCACCCCTACACCTTTACTTCCAAGTTGCATCAGAGCCTGGGCACACCCGTAGTTACCTGGGTTACAAGAATAAAGTGGTGATCCTGAAATTCTTTAAAAAGGGTGAGAAAAGTAGCAACTGCTCATTAAAGAAAACATTGGAAGGGACAGAAGAGTAAAACAAAGAAAGGGAAAATAAAAGTCATAGCATTACTGCCTAAAGACATCCACTGTTAATACTTTGGTATATGTCTTTTCTTTCTGTATATAGATTTGCATGTTTTTTTTTTTAAATAATCCTAATTGTACCACATACTGTAATTTTTTTTTTTAAAGATTTTATTTATTTATTTTTCCCCTCAAAGCACCAGTAGATAGCTGTATGTCATAGTTGCACATCCTCTAGTTGCTGTATGTGGGACGCGGCCTCAGCACGGCCGGAGAAGCGGTGGGTCCGGTGCACACCTGGGATCCGAACCCGGGCCGCCAGCAGCGGAGCGTGCGCACTTAACTGCTAAGCCATGGGGCCAGCCCCTCACATACTGTAATTTTTTATTAAGCTTTTCCACAAAACATTTTATCATTCTTCCTGTTACTATATACTTTTTGCAAGCACTCTTTTTTTTTTTTTTTTTATCAGCCCTGAGCTAACATCTGCCAATTTTTTTTTTTTTTTTTTGGTGAGGAAGATTGGTCCTGGGCTAACATCTGTGCCCATCTTTCTCTACTTTCTATGTGGGACGCCTGCCACAGCATGGCTTGATAAGCGGTGTGTAGGTCCATGCCTGGGATCTGAACCTGTGAACGCCGGGCCGCCAAAGTGAAGCGTGTGAACCTAACTACTATGCCACAAGGCTGGCCCCCTATACTTTTTGCAAGCACCATTTTTAAAGGTCTTGTGTAGTGCTCGATTAGATGTATGTATCATAGTTAAATCATTACTCTTGGACATTTTGCCATTTCTAATTTTTTGCTCTCATAGTAGTACTGTAATGAATATAATAAATAAAACTAACACATTTTGAAATACTTACTATTTCCTTGAGATAGATTCCTATAACTCAGAGTTACTGAAGGAAAGCGTAAAGAACATTTCCAACACTTTAAATATATAAAACCAAGCTGTTTTCCAAACAAATTGCGCTTTTTGCCCTCACACTAGCAACAAACCCGTTCCAGGCCTGCGTGTTACCGTTTAGCAAGGATTTTTACAAAATGATAGGCAATAGGGCCAGCCCTGTGGCTTAGTGGTTAAGTGTGCGCGCTCCGCTACTGGCGGCCCCAGTTGAGATCCCGGGCACGCACCGACGCACCGCTTCTCCGGCCATGCTGAGGCCGCGTCCCACATACAGCAACTAGAAAGATGTGCAACTATGACATACAACTATCTACTGGGGCTTTGGGGAAAAAAAAAAAAAAGGAGGAGGATTGGCAATAGATGTTAGCTCAGAGCCAGTCTTCCTCAGCAAAAAGAGGAGGATTAGCATGGATGTTAGCTCAGGGCTGATCTTCCTCACACACACACAAAAAATGATAGGCAATAAATGATATATCTTTGCTATTTTTATTTCTTTGATTTCAAGTGAAATTGAACACTTTTTTGTATTTTCCATAAAAAAGAGATCTGTTCATGTCCTTTTGTCCATTTAATTTATTGGGGTCTTAGTGTTTTTCTCATCGGTTCATCTGTGTCTTTATATAGGAAAGACTATAGATCACTGTCTGTTTTCTTGAGCTGGAAACTTTAAGTAAAAGCGATTCCTTCTCATCTTCCAGGAGTACTGAGAGAAGGACAGGGTGACTTCTCAAGTTCACTGAGCTATATCTTCCTATCTTCTAGTTTCCTTAATTTATTTAGTAGAGTTCTACAGATTAATTTTTTTCTAGCCACCTGTTATACTTTATTTTCCATCTAATTGATTTTTTCTTTGGTGTTTTCTAGTCTTTTCTTTCTCCCTCACTTCTTCCTCACTGCTATGCCAATTGACTTTTACCCAATATTTCATACTTATTTTAGTATCTTGGGGAGGCTGCACCGTGAAGAAATTGCTCTCGCACCCTTATCCTTTTTCCAGCTTGTCATCTCCTTGATCCGAATTGCTTGATTTAGGCTAATATCCTACATGTTTCCCTTAATTTCATTTTACTTTGAGGTTGATAGTTGCCCGATAATGCATTTTTACAACCACAGGCATAAATGAAATATCTTGGGAACATAATATCCCTTAGTTTTCCTCTATGGTCCATTCTATTTTTATTCATAGAGGCAAGAGAATCCTATTGTCTTTCTTCAAAACCTAGAAACCAAACATTCGGTTCATCCTCAGCTTTCTCTTCACCATTTTGGACCTGTCTGACTTCTCTCATCTCCCATGTCCTCATATGTGATTGTGGATGGGAGAAATGACTCATCCTAACAGCTGTACTTGCTTTGACTCTCTGCTTTCCTTCTGTAGAAGCCCCTTTTCCTGTCCCGAGCTGTGCTGACAGGACTGGCAGATGCCACGTGGACAGAGGAGCATGATGGCATTCTGAAACGCTTTGCCCAGGACCCTTCGGAGCCCATCCTCACCATCTTCATCGACCCCTGTTTGGGGCTGAAGATAGACCTGGGCATGCCTGTGCAGGTGGGTACTCTATTTTTCTAGACGCCAACATGGTCTTCCAGGGAGCTGAGGGTTCCATGTATCTCTGTCATCTTTGAGTCTTACCTCCTGTGCCCAAGGTCTATTGAGCCTCATGGTGTGTCAGGCACCCTCCTTGGCAGCAGGATACAGAGAGGAATGAGGCAGGGTCTTGCTTTTGATGATCTCATGGTCTAGTGGGGAAGACAGACTTATAAAAAAATATTTACAATATATTATGATGCATGGGCAAAGCTTTATAGGAGCTTTATGGGAGCAACTAATGTAGCCAGTGGAATGCTGGCAAGGCTTGGTGATGGAGGTGATATTTGAGTTGGGGATGGAGGGTGAGTAGGATTTCACTGAGGCTGGGTAAAAGCTGTTCGGGTAAAGAATACTTTATGTGCAAAGGAAAGAGGAGTTGTGGGAAATGATACTGAAAATGTTGGTTGGGGTCACCTTGTGACGGGCCTTGTATGTTACGCTAAAGAATTTGGCCTCGATCCCAGAGGGAACTATTGAAGGCTTTCATGGATTAGAGAGATAACTCTTTCAACAACGTGGAGGATACGTTAGTGAAGGGTAAACCATGGATAAGGAGACGGTTAAAAGATAGATATGTAGTAAAATGTTAGTGGTAGAATCTGGGCGGTGGGTGTACAAGTGATTATTGTAAAATTCTTTTAAATTTCTATATGTTTGAAAAATTTTGAAATAAAATCTTGGAAAAGGAAAAGACTATGGCTTTGCTTTTACTGGCAGCACATATACAAATAACAAAATGATAATGAAGATTAGCATGGTCTTGTGCAATGACGCAGTTTGTGAAGCGTTCCATATTAAATAAAAGAAAAAACAGGCTATGGCTTTTTCCTGTATATTGGCCATAATTAGCTACAAAACATGAAAAAATTTCATTCACAAAAGGAACAAAAATTTTCAAAAAATGCGTAGGATTTATATGAAAGAAAACGACTTTTTTGCAGGCTACAAAAGAAGATTAAATAAATGGTGAGCCATATCCTGTTTCTGGGTGGGAATCTTAATATTACAGAGATCATTTCATAGAAAAAAAAGTACCATTTTAATGCAACTCCAGTCAAAGTGCCACAGTCCCTAGATCCCTTGTGTAAAGGATTTTAAAATATATCCAGAAAAATAGCAAAGAAAATGATGAAGAAGGAAGGTAATGGAGACTTGTGAATATGAAAATCTTAAACTACAGTAATTAAAACAGAGTTGTCCTGGGTCAGAAATATATATTATATAAGCCACAAGAGAGAGACATAGAAAGTACGAAAACATATATGTAAACATTTTCTGTAAAAATGGCATTTAAAATTTGTGGGGAAGGATGGATTATTCAATTAATAAAATTGGGAAACATGGAAAACAAAGTTTTTCCATTAAAAAATCTATTTAGCTGGGGGGATGGTGAAATGGGTAGATATTGATCAAAGGCTACAAAATTTCTGACACCAAAAGCAAAAATAAACAAGTGGGACTACATCAAACTAAAAATTTATGCACAGCAAAGGAAACCATCCACAAAATGAAAAGGCAACCTAAAGAATGGGAGAAGATATTTGCAAATCACATATCTGATAAGAGTTAATATCCAATATATATAAAGAACTCATACAACTCAATAGCAAAAACAATCCGATTAAAAAATGGGCAGAAGATCTCAATAGACATTTTTCCAAAGAAGACATAGAGATGGCCAACAGGTACATGAAAATATGCTCCACATCGCTAATCATCAGGGAAATGCAAATCAAAACCACAATGAGCTAAAACCCCACAGCTGTTAGAATGGCTGTCATCAAGAAAACAGGAAGATAACAAATATTGGAGAGAATGTGGAGAAAAAGGAACTCTTGTGCATTGTTGGTTGGAATGTAAATTGGTGCCACCCCTATGGAAAACAGTATGGAGGTTCCTCAAAAAATTAAAACATGAACTACCATATGACCCAGCAATCCCACTTCTGGGTATATATCTTAAGGAAATGAAATCACTATCTTGAAGACATATCTGCATCCCCATATTCACTGCAGCATTATTTACAATAGCCAAGAGATGGAAACAGCCTATGTGTCCATCAATGGATGAATGGATAAAGAAAATGTGGTGTGTGTCTGTGTATATATATATATATACACACAGACACACACACACACACACAATGGAATATTATTCAGCAATGAGACAGAAAAAAATCCTGCCATTTGCAACAGTATGGATGGACCTTGAGGGCATTATGCTGGATGGACCTTGAGGGCATTATGCTAAGTGAAATAAGTCAGACAAAGACAAATATTGTATGATTTCACTTATACGTGGAATCTAGAAAAAAAAAACCTAACTTATAGAAACAGAGAACAGATTAGTGGTTGCCAGAGTCAGGGGGTGGGGAAGTAGGGAAAATGGGTGAAGGTGCTCAAAATGTACAGACTTCCAGGGGCCAGCCCCGTGGCTTGGCGGTTGAGCGTGCGCACTCTGCTGCTGGCGGCCCGGGTTCGGATCCCGGGTGCGCACCGACACACCGCTTGTCCGGCTGTGCTGGGGCGGCATCCCACATGCAGCGGCTGGAAGGATGTGCAACTATGACATACAACAATCTGCTGCGGCTTTGGGAGAAAAAGGGAAAAAAAAGGAGGAGGATTGGCAATAGATGTTAGCTCAGTGCCGGTCTTCCTCAGCAAAAAAATAAAAGGAGGATTGGCGTGGATGTTAGCTCAGGGCTGATCTTCCTCAAAAAAAAAAAAAAAGTACAAACTTCCAGTGATAAAATACATAAGTTCTGGGGATTTAATATACAGCATGGTGACTATAGTTAACAATACTGTGTTGTATATTTGAAAGTTGCTTAACCAGTAGATCTTAAAAGTTCTCATGATAAGAAAAAAATTATAACTGTATGAGGTGATGGATGTTAACTAGTTTATTGTGGTAATCATTTTGCAATAAATACATATATATCAAATCATTATGTTGTACATCTTAAACTAATACAATGTTATAGGTCAGTTATATATCAATAAAACTGGAGAAAAAAGGGTACAAATTTTCAGTTATGCAAGATAAATAAGTTCTGGAGACCTAATATACAGCATGGTGACTACAGTTAATAATACTGTATTGTATACTTGAAATTTACTAAGAGGGTAGATCTTAAGTGTTATCACTACACAAAAAAAAAAAGAAAAAGAAAATGGTAACTATGTGAGATGATGGATACGTTAATTAGCTTGATTATGGTGATCATTTCACAATATATATTTATATCAAAACATCAAGTTGTACACCTTAAGTATATACAATTTTTATTTGTTAATTATGCCTCAATAAAGCTGGAAAAACAATCTATTTAGCCTGCCGAAATACATTCTAAATAGATCACAGACTTAATTGTATTCTCCTAGGTTAAGATGGCTAATTGAAACTTCCTTAAAAAATTATTACCCTTGAATACTCAATAAAATGAACAAAAAGTAAAACCAGAGGAAAAAAACACCCAAGAGTAAATAAACAAACAAAGAAGCATAATCTAACCTAATAAACTTTAAAAGTGGGTGACCAATGAAAGGTCTATGCATTGAGCTAAGGAAACCGTCCTCCCCACAGAATGGCGGACCCCCAGCGAGACGGAGTGAACCTTAGATAGGACATTTAACAAAATCTGAAAAAAGAGAAAGAGCCCAGGTATTTTAACGAAGATTTTATACTGTTTTAAATTAGCCTTAACCACCCACCTAACCCCTCATGCCATTCTCTTAGGCTACAAAAGAGTGAAAAAACATAAAACCCCCAACCCTTTCATTTTAACTTTGAGGGAGGAAAGAAACTGGGCTCTCACAGTGGGACATAAAAAAGTCACCCACATGGGCCGGCCCCGTGGCTTGGTGGTTAAGTGCGCGCGCTCCGATGCTGGTGGCCCGGGTTCGGATCCCGGGCGCGCACCGAGGCACCACTTCTCCGTCCATCCTGAGGCCGAGTCCCACATACAGCAACTAGAAGGATGTGCAGCTATGACATACAACTATCGACTGGGGCTTTGGGGGGAAAAAATAAATAAATAAAATCTTTAAAAAAAAAAAAAAAGTCACCCACAGTATGTTAGATCCAAAAGAATGGATTCAGAGAGCTGTGCAAGCATGGAGGAAGTGAAAATAAATTGCATGGCAACTGCAAGCGTATTACATCAAGGGAAGAAAAAATGGAACAAAGCATGCAAAAGAGGAAAGCAGAACAGAAGGACATTCCTCACTATAGCGTCATGTTATAGTATACCTTGAAAAGAACAGGAATTTAATTTTTAAAAAAGCTGAGAGATGAAATAATAAAACGTGAGAATGAGATAAAAGAGAGGTTGCAGATTTTAGGAAATAAATAAAGCAGCATGTTACAAAACTATTAGGTTAGAAACAGGAAGGAACTGAATAGCTATCGCTGAACATCTGAAATAACATAGAAGAGAGGCTTGAGATAATACAGTGTGTGCAGAAGAAAAAACCAGTGACAACACAATTAGAAGTTAATAGATGGGAAAGACAGACGCAGGTCATCTAATATAGATAACCAACTAATGAAACAGAATATAAAATTAAAGATAAAATACAAAGAATTCTCCTGAACTGCAGAAGAAACTGAATCTGGGAATTGAAAGCATGTACTTTATTCCACAAAATTTGTTACACAATGTTTAATGTCAATACACATCTTAGTTAAGCTACTAACATCTGAGGAAGTTAATTTTTTAGGAACATCACCTATGTGGTATTCCTTCCAAGACTATTTAACTTGAATCTAATAGTGAGGAAACAATCAGATAAATCCAAATTAAGGGACATTTTGGAAAACAACTGACTGAGACTATTAGAAATATCAATGCCATGGAAGAAAGAAAAAGACTGGGGAGCTGAGCGGAATTAAAGGAGACTGAGGAGACATGACTGTATGTGATTCTGGATTGGATCCTGGATGGGAAAAAACCAGCTGTAAGTGACATTATTGCACCATTGGGGAAAATTGAATATGGACTGTATATTATATAAAGTATTATCTGAAGTTAAATTTTCTGAGTGTGATAATTACAGTGTTGGGTATGTTGGAGAATATCCTTGCTTTTGGGAGCTATATGCTGAAGTATCTAAGGGTGTAGTATCATGATGTCTGCTGCTAACTCTCAAATGGCTCAGCCAAGAGATATGGCAAAATATTAACAATCAGTGAATCTAGAGGAGGGGTATGTTGTTGTTCATTGTGCTTTTCTTGCAACTTTTCTATGAGTTGGAATTTTTTTCAAAGTAAAAATTAGGAAAAAATTTATTTAGGCCTCTGGTCAAAAAAATCAAATTATCTACCAAGGGGAACCATCAGGCTGGTCTCAGACTTCTCTGAACACCTGCTGAGTTCTCCAGGAAGGACAGTGTCACCCAAGGGTATGATTGCCCACGATCATTTTCGATGTTGAAAGAACACTTTACAAAACAAAAATAACATCATCAACGGAAATCCAGTCCATTAAGAAATGAAACATAACTCAGGAATAGAGAATCTATGAACACTTAATTCATTTAAATAAAGAAATAATACTAAATAACCATGGGAATTATGATTATGCTATAGAATGTGAATGTTATTAACCTGGACAATGTAACAATAATACTAGAAAAAAAATTGGGAAGTGGTGAGAAAATGAGAGGGAGCATAAGGATGCCAATGTTCCTATCTTTCTAAGCAGTGAGTCAGTAGAACTTAAAATTGAAAAGTAGTGAGAAAACTAATCTCAATGTTTTTCATAATCTCTCATAACCTTAGAAAGGGGTCTTTTAGGAAGAAATCTCTCTTACAGGTGAAGAAACGTATTTGAAGCTCAATAATTTCTTTATTATATTCACATCAATGTCTTTTTATTCTATTAAATCCAAGTGAAATTAAATTTAATACTTTTTTTTTTTTTTTTTTTGCTGAGAAAGATTCACCCTGAGCTGACATCCATTGCCAATCTTCCTCTTTTTTTGCTTGAGGAAGATTAGCCCTGAGCAAACATCTGTGCCAATCTTCTTCTATTTTGTATGTGGGTCACCGCCACAGCATGGCTGATGTGTGGTGTAGGTCTGCACCTGGGATCCGAACCTGTGAACCTGGGTCACCAAAGTAGAGTGTGCTAAACTTAACCACTATGCCACGGGCTGGCCCCAAATTTAATACTTTTAATTAAAAATAGCATGATCCTATTTTGAAATAACTTTTAATTTATTTTTCTGTAAATGTCTATAAAAAGATGTCTGGAATAATGTTTTCTCTAATGGCATGAATGTCCAGGTGGTGGAATTTTAGATGACATTTTAACTTTTATCTTTGTACTTTTCTGCATTGTTTCAGTTATTTATAAATAACATATATCATTTTAACAAAAATAATAATCATTAAGCTTTTAAAAAAATAGACACAAAATGCCAAAATTTAATTCTGGGTAGTGGGAAGATGGACAATTATTAATTTCTTCTTTGTGCTTTATTTTTAGTTTTTAAAATTAAATAAATTGTAAAGAGTAGTTACAAAAGCACTAAAGAAAAAAAAAAGGTGAATCTGATCTTAGGGTGGGAATGACCTTTCTAAGCATGTAGAAGTCAGAAACTTTAAATTTAAGAAGTTTTACCTACATGAAAGTTATACATTTCTGAATGTAAACAACAACAACAACAACTCACCATAAACAAAATTGAAGGATAAATTAAAAATTAGGGGAAAAGTATATGCAACTGAAATGGAAAACCCTAGATGGTTGTCTCTCTCTCTCTTTTTTTTTTTGCTGAGGAAGATTGGCCTTGAGCTAACAACTGTGCCCATCTTCCTCTACATTATATGCGGGGTGCCTGCCACAGCATGTCTTGATGAGTGGTGGGTTGGTCTGTGCCCAGGATCCGAAGCTGTGAACCCCAGGCCGCTGAAGTGGAACGCGCGAACTTAACCACTATGCCACCGGGCCAGCCCCGACAGTTGTCTCGTAATTCCAGTCCTTCTCCTTTCTGCTTTCCCTGTAGCTGAAAGTGCTTCATCCATTCTAGCCTTTTCATTTCATCCATCCATCCATCCAACATTCATTGGGCATCTAATATGTCCCAGTCCCTGTGCTAGGTTCTGGAGCCAAGTTGGACAAAATACACAGTCCCAGGGCTGGCCCTGTGGCATAGTGGTTGAGGTCAGCACGCTCTGCTTCGGCGGCCTGGGTTTCATGGGTTCGGATCCTGGGTTCGGATCCCAGGCGTGGATCCCGGGTGCAGACCTACACCACTTATCAGCCATGCTGTGGCAGATGAACCACATTTAAAATAGAGGAAGATTGGCATAGCTGTTAGCTCAGGGCTGATCTTCCTCAAGCAAAAAAAGAGGAAGATTGGCAACAGCTGTTAGCTCAAGGAGACTCTTCCTCAGCAAAAACAAAAAAACCCACAGTCTCTGCCCTCAAGGCATGCTCTCTGCATTTCCTCTCCAGATCTTTGGGTATGGACTCTAGTATGTCCCTGAAAAGAACAGGAAGCACCTCATAACACTTACATTGGGAGAAAGATCAGGATATGCTAAGGGAATGTGACATAGAACTCAGCCAGGCTTTCATGATTGGAGCCTCAGATTCCTTTGGGTGTCATGACTGGGCCTGGAGACTGAACTCTTGTCTACTGTCTTTCATGCAGACCCAGAACCAGATTGTCTACTTCATTCGCCACGCACCGGTTCCCATCACTCCAGAGAACTTTGAGGCAACTGTGCAGTTTGGCACAGTGCGGGGTTCCTACATCCCTGCCCTGCTTCGTCTGCTCAGTGGTGTCTTTGCCCCCCAGATCTTTACAAACACAACCTGGCCTGAGAGCATTCGAAACAATTTTGCTTCTCATCTGCACAGGTTCTTGGCCTGCCTGACAGGTGAGCAAAAAGGCCTGGTTTCTCCCTAGTGTCCTACTGACAGCAGAGTGAGTGAGGCAGGTGGGAGATTCATCCTGAGTACCTGCATTGCCTGGCACAGAGTAGGTACTCGGTGTGTGTTTGTTGAATGAGTGGAACAGGGTACAGAATTTGCCTTCTAATCCTGATGTGGTTTTCTGCTATAGAACAGTTGGCCAGACCTGCTCACACTTAGAGCTGGAGATTTCTAAGAGTGCCTGGGGGATAAGGGGACATGTAGGTGGTGGGGGGCAGTATGGGGTGTACATGTGTCATAGAAGAGAGTGTTGAGGGCCTGGTACAAATCTTTGACCTTATTTTATGTCAGTCTCTTATTATACCTCAATGAAGTTTCCTTCTTGCCTTCTGTCCTTTTTCCTCTTGATATCAAAAAAGTATGAGTCGTAATTTCTCCTTCTGGCTCTCCTGAAATGCACATACTTCCTGGGCCCAAGATCATCAACTACAATTGGAACTAGGGTGGCATAAACTCATCCCCCTCTGTGAACTTCCATGGTCTTTTCCTTTCCTTAGATACTCGGTACAAACTGGAGGGGCACACGGTTCTCTACATCCCCGCAGAGGCCATGAACATGAAGCCTGAGGTGGTGGTTAAGGACAAAGAGCTGGTGCAGCGGCTAGAGAGTGAGTGGCTGGCATTGCCAGTGTGTCGGAGATCCCATGGGGGAGAAAAGGGGGGCAGCCCAGATGCTGAGAAAGGAGTTGGGTTAGGAGAGCTGTGTAGGGAGCAGAGAGAAGGACACAACTGGGGAGCAGTGTAAAGAAAGGGAAAGGGTTTTGTATTCTCCCCTGCAGCCTCCATGATCCACTGGACCCGGCAGATAAAGGAGGTGCTCAGTGCCCAGGAGACTGTGGAGACAGGAGAAAATTTAGGTCCTTCGGAGGAGATTGAGGTCTGGCGCAACCGATGCATGGACCTGTCTGGCATCAGTAAACAGCTGGTGAAGCAGGGAGTGAAACACATTGAGTCTATCCTGCACCTTGCCAAGTCATCCTACTTGGCACCCTTTATGAAACTGGCCCAGCAGATCCAGGTTTGTGAGTAGATCAAAGGATGGAGGCTTGGCAGAAAGTGGACAGTAGTTGGGACAATATAGAATGCTAAGAAGAGGGAGCCAATGTAATCATCAACAGCAAAGATAGATCCACCCAGTGTTTGAACTTGCACCTGTGGCGGAGTATAAAAGTGGTAGAACACAGGGTCCCAAGGAGCTTATAGGATAGTTAGGGAGAGATGTAGTTCATCACCCTGTATACATTCAGTACCCTCACTGAGCTCAACCTCTACAGTCCAGCTGAGAAAAGAAGACTTATGCTAAATAGGATTACTAGACAGCATGGGATCAAAGAGGAGCCCATGGGGTTCAGCCAAGAGGGTACAAGATAAACACTTAAAAAATAAATTTGATATAGTATGACAAGCTGATTATGTTAGTGTTGGGGATGCACAGAAGATCAGAGTGATCTGTAGAATACAGAGATGGAAGACTTCCCTTCCTAGGTGGAATTTTAAGCTAGGTATTAAGGGAATTGAGCCGTGGCTAGGTGGAGAAGTCAAAAACCCTGCTTGAGAACAGGGCAGTCAAGGGGACTGGGTGAAAACTCTGGGGATGAATGGGAGTGATGTCCAATCAGTTGATCAACAGCTGTTGAGTATCTCCTTTGTGCATAGTTCTGGTTCAGCTGGAGAAACTAGAGGAATAGACACAAAACCTGAGCTTGGGGAATTCCGAGTCTACTGGGGGAGATGGGACTCACACATGAGAAAAGACTTTCATAGAAACTCGAAAATGAATAAAAGATTATCTATAAACTCTGGTCCTGAGGGCTGCAGAGACCTGAAATGATTGGTACTAGGTGGGGTTAATTGGGAATGCTTCCCAGTAGAGGCAGGTCAGGATGGAGTTCAAGATAGATAGAAAGTGCTCGCTTTGAACAAGTTCTTTCTAGTGGATAAGTCTACTCCTGGTTTCTCTTTACTGCCAGGATGGTTCTCGTCAAGCACAGTCAAACCTGACTTTTTTGTCAATCCTGAAAGAACCTTACCAGGAATTGGCTTACATGCGGCCTAGGGACATCTCTAGTAAGCTCCCGAATCTGATCAGTCTCATCCGCATCATCTGGGTCAACTCTCCCCACTACAACACTCGGGAGAGACTGACCTCCCTCTTCCGAAAGGTGTGTGTCTGCAGAGGGTGGGACAGAAGGTGTTAAGAGGGTGGCCACATTGATAGAACTCAGATTTTCTGAAGAAGGTGGAATTCACTTAGCAGAAGGTCTGTGGTGAAAAGGTAGTGAGGAGTGCCCTTGAGGTCAGACAGAGACCAAAGTCTTCTGCCTGCATTGTCAGCTTTAGTGATGCTCAGAGTTGGGGCCTGGGCTGGACATTTTGCTTCTAGATAGAAGTAGCCTAGGCAGGAAGAGGGCCTTTGAGAACAAGAGTTGATGGAGTGTGGGGATGGAGGCAGGAAGGACAGACTCCCAGGCTGAGTTGTACAGGAGGGGAAGACCCTCTTTTTCTCATTCCAAAGATGGAAATTGCAGTGGGCGAGAGGTAGATTTAGGAAGGAACGCTGACTTTTGAGGAGCAGAACCTGGCACATTTCATCCGGGGTGACAGAGCCAAAGAGTGGGAGAAAGGGCACTGAGCTGAGTGGAGGCGAGGAAAGAGCAGCTGCAGAGCTGGGCTGAGGCAGGGCGTGGAGGGGGAACCTGGAGGGGCTGCCTGCCAGCAGTGGAGGACCTGGGTGAGATGGTTATCAGGAGCCAAATCTGCAAGTAGAAGGCCGAGACCTGAGGCACAGTCGGGGAGATTCAGAGAAGGGGTTGGGTGCAACTAAGGCTGGGACTTGAGGCTGCTGGGACCCCTTCTGCAGATGAGCAATGAGATCATCCGCTTATGCTGCCATGCCATCTCCCTGGACCGAATCTTCGAGGGATATGTCACTTCTAGCAAGGAGGACCTACAAGGCTGCATTTCCTGCTGCCATGCCTGGAAAGATCACTACCTACGGGCTGTGCAGATGCATACCCAGTATGATATGTCTCCCCCGACATCCCGTATATTAGCCCCTGTCATTCCGATAGAGGGTAGATTCTGACTCCTTTCACTTGCGTTTTTTTTAAAGCCTATGGATTATATTTTTCTAGACCTGAGAGTTTCTATATGGGTCCAAGTTTTCTCTCTGAGTACAGATACTCTGGCTCCTAGCCCTAGGTTCTCCTTACCCTAATAACCTCTTCTCCCTGATTCGAGGAATCCTGCCTGGTCTTTTCCTCCTTTCTTGGCCCTAAAGTCTAAAATTCCATGATGTATAAACCTTCTCCTAGGTGCTTTGTCTCCTCTCTGGTTCTCTTCAACTTGCGTTTCTTCTCTCAGGATTCAGGAGAACTACTTCTTGAGTTCTCCTCTTCTAAGGCTCCCCCTGAACCCAAGACTCCTGGTTCTAGCTTTGCGTAGGCAGATTGATACCTGGTGTTCCCGCTGTTTGAATCGATCCATCTTTCTCCTAACACAGGTTCTCCACTCGGGGCTGGGTCCTAGACCAGACCAGCATATTCGCTCAGGTTGATGCCTTTGTGCAGCGCTGCAAGGACCTTATTGAGGTGGGAAGACTGTCAGGGAAGAAGAGTCAAAGCCAACAGCAGACCCTCCAGAATCCCCACGCAGGAGCTGGAGGAGATGGGGCAGAGGCAAAGCATAGAACTTACCACTTTGGCTGTTCTTGCGTAACTGTGTGCTCTACCACCATCCTGTTCTTTTAGACTTTTGCCTCTTATCACTGCCTAATATTTCATATTTCATTCTGCAGTCATAATTCATCCCAGTAGCCCCTTGCATCTGGTTGGTCCTGCCTAGTTTTTAGACATTTTAGGCTAAACCAGAGAGCTCAAGACTTACAAACTCAGAAAAGAGAGCAGGAATCCTCATGATGACTTCTTTTTAGGTATGTGACTGTCAGTACCATTTTGCCCGCTGGGAAGATGGCAAGCAAGGTCCCCTTCCTTGCTTCTTTGGTGCCCAGGGACCCCAGATAACACGGAACTTGCTGGAGATTGAGGACATTTTTCACAGAAATCTGCACATGCTGCGAGCTGTTCGTGGGGGCATCCTGGATGTCAAGAACACCTCTTGGCATGAAGACTACAACAGGTGAGAATCCCAGGCTGATGCCCAGGTAGAGAGGGAAGGGAGGTCAGGAGAGGCAAGAACAGGAGCAGTGGCAGAGTGTGTGAGGGGAAGGGCGGAGGTGGCAGAGTGGGGATGGGGAGGGCAGGAGAGAGTGCAAGGAAGAGGTGGCTGCTCAGATTGAGGGTTCCAGAGTTAGCCTTTCACGGCTTGAACCCCAGTTCTGCCACATACTAGAGATGTGACTCTGAGCAAATTACTCTACCAGCTGGAGCCTCTGTTTCCTGTCTATAAAATAAGGTTAGTGATAGAACCTATCTCATTGCATAGTTAGTCAGTGCCTGGTACATAGGAAGCTCTCAGTACATAACACATAGGATTCTTACTCAGGGGGATATACTTGGGGTCAGGTGAGGGCACTCACCCTTCAACACGCCTCTTGAACGGTGCAGGTTCCGTGCGGGAGTCAAGGACCTGGAGGTGATGACTCAGAACTTGATCACCTCCGCCTTCGAGTTAGTTCGTGACGTGGAGCATGGAGTGCTACTGCTGGACACCTTCCACAGGCTTGCAACCCGTGAGGTGCCACTGCCCTGCCTGCTTCCTCCACCCTTGGTTCTGCCACTTTCCTTCAGTTCCTCCTGATCCTTCCAGACACCATCCTACCTCCATTCACACTCTTTCTCATGTCCTAAATTGCCAGTGCCTCTTTTCTTCCCTCTCCCTGTTCCTCTAGTGTCCAGATCGCTAAGGAGTGTGACTCCCAAAGCAGAGGGGTAGCTTTCCCCCAGGATGGGTAACTGGAGGGAACCCGCGTGCCAGGGCATGTTGTCAACTTCTTTCTCTTCTTCCTTAGGCTATCAAGCGAACATATGACAAGAAGGCAGTGGATCTCTACATGTTGTTCAATAGCGAATTGGCCCTCGTGAACCGTGAGCTGAACAAGAAATGGCCATACCTGGAGCCCTACATGGCCCAGTACTCTGGACAAGCACACTGGGTGCGGATCCTACGGCGTCGCATCGACAGAGTCATGAATGTAAGGGCCTGGCCTTTTCCAAGACTTGCTCTCAGTGAGATGGTAGTTTGCAGGCTGTGCCACATGCTGGGAGGGATGAGGGACTGGTCCAGAGAGTTTCCCTAGAGAGTTTTCATGACCGGAGACCACGTCTGAGTGGAACATACAGTGCAGTGAGGCAGGCCATGGCTTTGGATTTGCAGCCATGTGAAGTGTGGTTGGTCGAACATGGGTCATTTTAGGCCTTTCATATCAAGGTGGAGAGGAGGAATAGGGTCAGCTTCTGGGAAGTTAGGCTACCAGAAGAGTAATACAACCTCACAGTCTATAGAACTGGACAAGTGAGGCCCTGATAGGGCCTGGTCTCCCTCGAAGAACAGGCTCAGAGAAACAGGAAAAAGATTTTTTAAAACTTGTTGGGAATATAGGTCTAAAGCTATTGTGGTACCTGCTATCATCTAATTGGCTCTGGGAGAGAGTAAGGCAGCCCACAGATGTTACTGAACCAGGTTTGTTTTGCTCGTTGCACAGAAAGCCAGTCACCTGAGGCAACGAGTCTGCAGCAGAGAAAGGGTTTATCCACAAGGCAGCCAAGCGAGGAGATGGGAGAACAAATCTCAAATCCACCTCGCCCCAAAATGGGGATTAGTGGTATTTGTGAGATAAAGGGTGGGGTGGTCTGAGGTGGGGGGATAGATGATTGGAGTTAAGGAGAAGTGAGGTAATTGATGGCCTGTGCAAGCATAGTCAAACTTCATGGCTCTTTATAGGACACAAGTTTACAAAATGGCCGGGTTAGCATGATCTGAGAGTGGAGTTTTCAGCTCCCTGACGTCAGGAGGTCACACGTTGGTCATCCATGCTGGCCCAGTTGATGAGTTGGTGGCCTTAACTGGCCTAAACTGGACAAGGAGTTGACTCTCAGTTCCTGAAAAACTTAAGCACCCGTAACCATGGTGACCCAAACGTCAGAGGTGTTATCTATGGGGTAGGCTTTAGTAATGCGTTATCTAACTACTTTTGCAAACAGACAACTGAGTATGGTTAAAGCATTTGACTCCCAGTTTCACAGACAACTGGAGGCTTTTTAAGTATCGGTGGGCTAAGACTGTGGTGAGGAAGGGCTCCTGCTAGTTTTTAACCTTGTACTTCTTAAATCCTTCACCTCCTGTAATTTACTGTCTTTTCCCAACTTTTTTCTTGAGCTGAATATCTGCGCTTCTCTTTCTTCATTTTGACTCCCTTTCTCATTGTGCCTTGGTCTCTTCCTCTCACCTATCTTTCTGGCTCCATCTTCCTTCTAAGTAGTCAAAATCAATCTCTATAGCAAGCCTTACACATATTGTTGGTGTGTGTGTGTGTGTTTGTGGTCCCAGAGTGATGGTAACGTGGAGGAATGTGGCCAGTAGGCTCCACCTATCTGTTTTTCTTCCCCCTCAGTGTCTTTCTAGTGCTCATTTCCTGCCTCACATCGGGACTGGAGAGGAGAGTGTGCATGCCTACCAGCAGATGGTTCAGGCCATTGATGAACTGGTCCGAAAAACCTTCCAGGACTGGACATCAACGCTGGACAAAGACTGCATTCGGCGGCTGGATACACCATTGTTACGAATCAGCCAGGAGAAGGCGGGCATGCTGGATGTCAACTTTGACAAGTACAAGACCCAACCCGTTCCTCTCCTGGTCCTGTCTTTGGCGCCATTCGCTTCCCCAACTCTCCCAAGAGTTTAACTTACATCTCTTGGTTTCCCTCCCCATTCTTCTGCCTAAGTCTCTCTTGTACTGTAATATGTTTACTTTTACTTCTTTTTTTTTTTTTTAATTTTATTTATTTATTTATTTTTCCCCCAAAGCCCCAGTAGATAGTTGTGTCATAGCTGCACATCCTTCTAGTTGCTGTATATGGGACGCGGCCTCAGCATAGCGGGAGAAGCGGTGCGTCGGGGTGAGCCCGGGATCCGAACCCGGGCCGCCAGCAGCGGAGCGCGCGCACTTAACCGCTAAGCCATGGGGCCGGCCCAACTTTTACTTCTTAATTTTAACTTTACAGTTTATCTTCAAAAAATTGATTAAAAAAAAAAAAAAACCCAGTAACCTACTAAACCAGTGATGTAGGTGTTCTGCCACTAGATGGCCATGGTGGCTCAGCTAAATCATCCAAACTGTGAGCAATGGTGTGGGCTTTTCTGAGAACTGATGGGGCTGTCAGACCATGCCCTCTCCTACAGCTTTATAATTATGGCATTTTCGTATTACAATTATTTAAAATTTAATTAATTCATTTATTAGTTATTAAAAAATATATAGTGAGTGCCTTCCATGTGCTAGGAACCAAGATTGGCACAGGGAATGTATACGATGCAAAGTCCCTGCCCTCTGTGACTCTGTGAATGAACCAAGTTCTACTCTTAGAGCTGTGCTTCCTTTTCATATAAGATGCAGAAGAGAAAAATAAAGAAGGATCTGTGTAAGGCATCTGTCTACAGAGATTACAGACCTTCTGGTGACAGTTTTTTCCTAATCGGAAGGAAATAACTTTCTACTTGATTGGTTTTGGCTCTGTCTTGTTGTCAGCTAGGCCCTATAATGACACTTGCTTCCCATGCTTCTAGGCTGTTGCTACTAGCATCGGCTTTAACTCATAGAATGTCCTTATTTGTTGGACAAATGTAGAAGGGGCTTTGCCAGGGAAGACCTATGTGGAGATGGAGTCTGGGGGACAGAAGAGACTGAGCGTGTCTGTCCTGGGTGGCTGCAGGCAGCCTAACCAGGGGGAGAGGACACATTATGGTTGAGGAAAGAAGCAAAAGAACCAAGGTGGAGAAGCAGTGCTGAGAGTCAGGTCAGAGGGGTGAGGCAAAGGCGTTAGTGGGAAGGACAGAGATGTTTGAAGCCACATGGATCAGGAAGCAGTTGAGAAGCAGTGTGAAGACGAGGGTGAGAGGTTTGAGATAAGTCTTTGGCCGGTGAGGGGCATCAGAGACCAGCTTTGATAGTGTTCCTGGTTTTTTTAGATATGGCCAAGCAGGATCATATAAAAATAACCTTATAAATTAACAGTAAGATTTTGAAGAGACAGAAGACTAGGCCAGTATTACCCTAGCTATGACATTTGCAAACACATAATGGGGTTGAATCTGCCAGACAGTCTTCCATCAAGCTGGGTACTCCCAAAGACGCTGTGTTTGGAGAGACATCCAGACACACTTGTAATAATATGAATATGAGCACACATAGTCCACCAATTGCCCTTTCCCATGAATTAAAGGATTGTATTCAAATAACAGAATTTTAATAAACACCAGTAATCGATATTTACATTTTAAGTATGAGAGAAAACAAAAGTTGAGAAAGAGGTAAAGAGATGCCATAGGTAAGCACTGGTTGGTGGCTACTTCCTTCTAATCCTCAGGGTCAGCCAGTGAGCGGGAGTAAAGCTTCAACTTCAATGCCACACAGACGAGAGTTTGAACCCTGGAGTAGTTCCGTTTTGCCGTGTGACCTCAGGACGGCCACTGAATTTCTCTGAGCCCAAGTTTCCTCATCTGCTTAAAAAATCCTTCTCTGAGGTTGTCATGAGGCGAGATGAAGTGTAAAAGTCCTCACAAAGAATAAACAGTCAGTAAACATTATTTTCCTTTAAAAAAATTGCCTCATAAAACTTGGTGAACATAGTACTTTCAAAACAAATTTAGCAAGGTGATATAATAGTTTTAATTTTTAAAACATTTAAAACTTTTAGAAGAGGTAATACATGCACATGTTATAAAATTCAAAAGTGACACCAGGGTAGAGAATGAAAAATCTCCCTACACTGCTGTCCCCCAGTGACTCAGTTTCTCTCTGAAGAGAGTCACCGTTACCAATTTCTTGTATAACGGTCCAGAGATAAGAGTGTGTATCTACATGAGTATCCTTTTTATATAAATAGTAGCATACTATACTATACACACTGTTCTATACATTCAAAGTGTTTTCAAAATGTTTTATTTAATTTTTCCATTATAAAATTATTGATCATTTTAGAAAATTTACAAAATGCAGAAAAGTAGAAGGAAGAAAAAAATTCCCCCAAAGATAACCATTCTTAATGATTTGGTATTTTTTTTTATCACTCTTTTTTTTACTGCTTATTTCATATGGTTGTTTTTCTTTACTTTTTAAAATCTTTTTTTTTTAATAATTTTTTAAATTTATTTTTCCCCCAAAGCCCCAGTAGATAGTT